ACTCACTCACCCCACACACACACACACACACACACACACACACACACACAGTCACAGACAGACACACTCATTCATTCACCACAGACACAGACACACACAAACCCACACACACAATCAAACACACACACACACACACTCACACAAACACACACACTCACTCACACAAACACACACACTCACTCACTCACTCACACAAACACACATACTCACACAAAACTTACACACACACACACACACACAAAACTTACACACACACACACACAAAAAACTTACAAACAAACAAACACACACACACACACACACACACCAAAAGGCATGCCATATATATATATATATATATATATATATCTTATATATTAAATATATGAAGAGTTCATTTGCAAAAACCGATAACTCCATTAAAAATTTTTCAGAAATCATGTTTATTTTTATTGCTCATTCCAAGTAAATATCAATCAAACTGCAGTTGGATTGTTTTGATTAAGTAATAACTTACAGGTAATTTACAAAATTAAAGTTTATTTAAAGTATTTTTTTTTTTACATATTAAAAGTTAGTTTTTTGGCAAAAGCAGATAACTCCACATTTCATGTTTTAGAGTCTAAAAGGCAATCAAATCAAATCAGTGGCTACCGGTAACTGTTTGGTTACCAACATTCTTCAAAATATCTTCTTTTGTGCGTTTTTCTAAATGTCTTCTAAATATTTTGAAGAATGTTGGTAACCAAACAGTTGATGGCACCCATTGACTTCCATTGTATTTTTTTCCATACTATGGAAGTCAGTGGCTACCGGTAACTGTTTGGCTACCAATGTTCTACAAAATATCTTATTTTGTGCTCAACAGAAGAAAGAATCTCGCACAGGTTTGGAATAACTAGAGGGACACCAAACGTTAATTTTTGGGCAAACTATCCCTTTAAATATTAGTCACACAAAACTATCACAGTGCTATCACAGTAACACAGCACACGAGTCGAGAGCCGTATGGACGACTATTATGATGCATCATATCGTCTCTGATGCTGTAGCGTGACAGTCATGTGATTAAAGGTGTGAGTTCATCTCAGTTTCCTCCTAAAATCACTGCGGTGTGAACTTGTCAGCTAGTGTTTTCCTTCTGAACGCTCGAGCCGCTTAACAATCAGTATCACACAGCCATGAGCCGCTCATGTATGCTGCAGATGAGCAGATATATCAGTATTTATAAATAGATGAGAGCGTGGAGGCGTGGAAGAGCTTCATGTTCGGTGTGGGAGTGACCTGAACCGCTTTACCTTGTGTGTGTCACGGACAATCTTTACTAATTTAAATACTCTTAACTGCTGTTTTAATATTCGTTAGAATTTAAATTCAGCCTAAATTCAAATACTACAAAAACATAAACTGAAATTATATTTATTCATAAAAATTAAGTGTACTGTGAAACCTGTCGAAAAGATTTTACTCTAAAATCAAAAGAATAAAAACAAAAAATAAATACACACTAGAAATCATATTTTGCATTAACAGGACCATTAATATATCTTGTGTCTGGATGCATTGTAGTAATGATAATTTGGGGGAAAATGTGTTTAATTGTTATTAAAATTATGTCACAATATATAAAATAATAATAGTCCTAAAATAGGCTTCATTTTCTATATGCAAAATATAATTTCTTGTTTTTATTCTTTTGATTGTGTGGTGAAAAAAAGCTATAAAAATTTAATAATAATAATATTATAATAACAATTGTTTTTATTGAAGAACATACGCTTCTTGAAACGTCTGGAATCACAAAATGATTCATAATTAATACTCATAATTTCTGTTAATAAAAAACAGAATACAAAATAAGCAGTTTTGTCAAACTATTTTTATTTTTCATTTTATGTTTTATTTGTGTAATTTTTATTACTATTCGTTTTTTTCTTTATTTGTTTTTATTTCAGTTGTACTTGTACACACATATATATATATATATATATTTTTTTTTAAATTTATTTTCATACCAGTTTCAGTAATTTTAGTACTTACATTTATTTTATTTCAGTTTCACAGTTTCATTTCATCTAATATTTTTATTTAATTTTATATTTATTATTATTATTATTTTATCTTATTATTTTATTGTGTGTGTGTGTGTGAGTGAGTGCGTGCGTGTGAGTGTGTGTGCGCGTGTGAGTGTGTGTGAGTGGGTGTGTGTGTGTTAATTTATTTTCATACCAGTTTCAGTAATTTTAGTACTTACATTTATTTTATTTCAGTTTCAGCAAGTTTTTTCATCTAATATTTTTATTTAATTTTATATTTATTATTATTATTATTTTATCTTATTATTTTATTGTGAGTGTGTGTGCGCGTGTGAGTGTGTGTGAGTGGGTGTGTGTGTGTGTGTGTGTGAGAGAGAGTTTGTGTGTGAGTGAGTGTGTGCGTGTGAGTGTGTGTGCGCGTGTGAGTGTGTGTGAGTGGGTGTGTGTGTGTGTGTGTGTGAGAGAGTGCATGTGAGTGAGTGTGTGTGTGTGTGCGAGTGAGTGTGTGCGTGTGGGTGTGTGTGAGTGTGTGTGTGTGTGTGTGTGTGTGTGTGAGTGTGTGTGTGTGTGTGCGTGTGAGTGGGAGTGTGTGGGTGCGTGTGAGTGAGAGTGTGTATGCATGTGAGTGAGAGTGTGTATGCGTGTGAGTGAGAGTGTGTATGCGTGTGAGTGTGAGTGAGTGTGTGTGTGTGTGCGTGCGAGTGAGTGGGTGCATGTGAGTGAGTGTGTGTCACTCACTGTCTCAGCAGCTGTCGTCCCTGTTTCCAGCTCAGCTGACTGTTGGGCGGTTCAGGAAGAGCCTCGTTCTCGTTGCCGTCATCTAAAGGTCAAAGGTCAGACACAGGAAGACAGTTGCCGGTCACTCACAGACTCTTTTTTTTTTTTTTTTCAATCACACATCAAATTGCAGTCAAAATACAATTCTTTTTATTATTATTATAATATATTTTTTTCAACTCAAAATGAAACATTACACTAGTATTATTACCGGTTTTATTTTTATTTCGTAATCTTATTTTTAATTAATAATAATTTTTGGCCAAATTGTGAAGTCTTACAAGCAAGCCCAGAAAACCTGGAATTATATATAAATATATAGCATGTCTCGTTGCTGCTCGTGTCGCAGAAACTGTGAGCAGCTTGAATCTGAGGGAGATGCTGGTGTTTACCCGAGTCGTAGCTGGGTGGCTTCATGTCTCCCTGGTTGAGCTCCGTCCCGTACTTCAGCTTGTGGTGTTTGGCCCTGCGGAGGAGAGAGAGACACAGTGCAGGTTCAGTGCTTCTGTTGCCACGGCGACAGCACCTGTGTGGGACGACTCTATAAATTCCCCGAATGTGAGAAGTCTTGATGGGATCAGCCGAACGCCACGGGAAATCAGACTGAACTCTAGGAATCACCTCACATTCCTCAAACCAAACATTAATGCATTTCTGCCAAATCTGATGCTGTCAGGGGCTTTAATCCAGCGCATAACTTACATTCTTCTGTTAATAATAATAAAACATGAGGATTTGCATTCTGCATATAAATGGTCCTGACAGCTTGCAAGTCATTGTTAAACATGCATGCATGTGCATTAACAAATATATATTCATTTGACAGCAATATGCACACTGCATTAAAGGAGAACATGGGCAGGATGTTTAAAAAAATAATAATTTTTAGCTTTTTCATCCAGTTAATCTGAGAAATAATCAATAGATTAACTGATTAACAAAATAAAATTTATTTATAGCTATACTCTTGATTTAAAGACATAAGACTGAAAAAAAGAAAACAAATAATTCATCACAGATTAATTCAATATTAATGCGGCGAGTTGCAATGTTGCTTGTTAACAATGTACTTTTTTTTTTTTAAATGATTACGTTAAAATTATTTTTAAATATATATTTGTTTTATTTTTTACATTTTTACATTTAATTTAAAAAAATATATATTCATTTTATTTTTTAAATTGCACTCTTTCTTCCAATTAATCTGAGAAATAATAATAAAGTAACAGCTACTAGCATTTGATTTAAGGAGAAGAACAGTGAAAATAAGAAATCTTACAGATTTGACTAAATTCAGATTAAATGAGCTTCATTCAAAACCGTAAAACAGACAGCAGTGACGCACATCAGATGAATTCAAAATTAATATGGTGAGTTGCAACGCCGCTTGGTACCAATATATTCATACATTTTTTTAAAGATTGTTTAAATTTAAATTATTTTTAAAATATATATTATTTTTATTTGTTTAAATTGTTTACAATTAAAATATATATTCATTTTATTAAAATTGTTTAAATTAAAATTATTTTTAAAATATATATTGTTTTTATTTGTTTAAATTGTTTAAAATTAAAATATATATTCATTTTATTAAATTTTTAAAAATGTAAATTATGTTTTAAAATATAAATTAATTTCATTTTTTAAAATCGTTTTAATTTAAATTATTTTTAAACGCATATTAATTTTATTTTTTAAATTGCACATTTTCATCCAATTATTTAGACGAAAAAAAAATCAGTTAAATCAATTAACAAAATAACAGCTACTAGCATTTGATTTAAGGAGAAAAAGACTGAAAACAGCAAATCTAATATTATTGTACAGATAGTTTTGACTGTAAATTCCGATTAAAAGAGCTTCATTCAAAGCCATAAAGCACACACCAGTGATGCACATCAGATGAATTCAGTATTAAAGCTTGGTAACTTTAAACAACTAAACTAAGAAGCTGCTTCATGACGTGTCAAAAGCATGAAATCCTGACAGAAAGCGCTGCATGTGTGTTATCCTGCTTCATGAGGACTTATGGCGCTTTTCCACTGCGTGGTACGACACAGCACTGCTTGGCTCGGCTCGGCTTGCGTTTCCACTGCAGTTCAGTACCGCTTTAGAGTGGGCGGGATTATTCACGTCGTTATAGTTGCGCCGCCTCTATTGCCTCATTCTGCGTCGCCCCATCAAGCTCTCGCTGGATCCGCTCCTCGGCTATCAACGAGAGGAACGTCTGTACTTCCTCAACAGACAACGAAACAGACACTTTTTGATTGTTAAAAAAGGTGCGCTTGTTCAAAACAGTTGCGTTCGATCCTTCGCTGGCTGTGCTGATTTAAATCTAGCGGTTCTTTTGTGTTTGTGTCGCAAGTTCAGTGACGCAGGTAGTGACGATTCTCTCCGGCCAATCCGTGATCAGCAGAGTTTACACGTCACGTTTTGGTAACTTTACGGTTCACTTGGAACCCCAACCGAGGTGGTACTAAAAAAAAAGTACCAGGTACCAGGTACTGTACCCAGTGGAAACCCCCCAAAAGTGAACCGTACCGAGCCGTACCGTGCAGTGCAAAAGCGCCATTAGAGTCCGTCATTATTATCATCAAATAAACTTCAAACGCACCTCGCTCCCTGCAGTCAGGCTACATAATGGCCAAGTTCACACAGACGTGTGTAAATGATTGAGATGTGTGTGTTTACTGACCGCTCCTGTTTGAGAGCGTATTCCAGCATCTTTATCCGTCTCACCAGATCCTTCTTCAGGTTCTCCTGGCCTTTCCTCTCACCCTGCAGGAACGCGATCTGAGCCTGCAATAAAAAAATACATATTCATTATTTATATGGAGCTAGAAATTGGCCTAAATTACAGAAATTTGCATGAAGATATTCATGTGAAAGATCATTTGTGACATTATTTTAATTGACAATTAAGCACTTTTTTTAAAATCCCAGACGATAATTACTGTAAGTCATGCTGATTTAAAAAAAAAATTTAAAAAAATAAATACAAAAAAACCTGAAAAAAATTATGATTTTATTACACTGTAATTTTTTAAAAAACTCATGCTAATAAAAAAAAAAATATATATAATAAAAATGGAAAAAATAAATGTTTACATTAGTGTAAAAAAGATTTTTCAATTGAATAAAAAATAAAAATAATAGAAAAAAAAATTATGCCAATTAAAAAAATTGAATTGAAAAATAAAAATACAAGACAGTCCAAATTTATGACATTAATTGACAATTAAGCACTTTTTTATTCCAAATGACAATTACTGTAAGTTTCCATCATTGTAGTGCGTGTTGTACTGAAATTAATTCATGCTCATTTAAAAACATATAAATATAATACAAAAATTGGAAAAACAATGATTTTCATTACACTGTAAAAATGTTTTTTTCAAAGTTAAAGATCATTGGAGTATGTTTTACAAGATACGATTTCAATCTTTGTACTTCAAATTTCATGTTTAATTCAATGCGTTACTTGCGGTTTCTTTGTTAATTTCTGAAAAAAATTATATATATATATATATAAGCAGAGGCATCCCTTTCCAAAAAAGGCTAGCTTGTATTTTCTCGCCGGAGGAAGTGAGAGAGATTAGGAGCGCCGGAGAGCAAGCAATGCGTCTGAATTCAGAAATAGTGCAGTGACGTCGGCGCGGCCCACTCGCCTCCCCAGAGGCGTCTCTTGACATGCCTGCAGAGAAACGCTCGAACCCGACAGAGCGCAGCCGAGAGAGCGGAAGACACTTCAGCTGCAGCTCATTCATGCGCTGATGCGACGACTTCTCATCATCACCGACATCTCTGAGAGAGCACAGATCTGTGCAGGATTTCACATCTCACTGGCTCTTCCTTATTTACAATGCATTGAAAAACTACACTGTTTAAACCAGGAGTGAAGGGAATTACTGATGAAATTGCTAAATGATTTAAAACTATTGAAACCATACTGTAAAAATTATTTTACAAAGCAAGTATATAGTACTAGTAGATTCTTTGTAATTATTTGTGAAATTGACAAAAACATTCTGAGGGAAAAGCATTGTTTTCAGTGCAGGTTAGTATCCTAAAAATACTAAATAAATAATAATAATAATAATTACATTTATTTTATTTCAGTCAGTTGCCAATTCAACATTTCTCATTTTTGGTTAGTTTAAATTGAAGTACTAAAACAAAAAACAAACACTAAAAAAAAATAAAATTACAAAAATCCCGTAAAAACTTTTAAATAAAATGACCAATGTTTTTTATATTTTCCATTTTTTTAAATGGTATTTATTATCCTTAACTAAAATTAAAACCATAAAAACATTTTAATGATTTAAAATACAATAAACATTAACTGAAATTAAATAAATACAAAAAAGTTAAACTTATTTTGTCAGATAGTTGCCAAGTTAACATTTCTCATTTGGTTTAAATTTAAATACTAAAAAAAAAAAAAAAAATTATATAAAAGTTAATTTTATAGCTATAGTTTTAGTCATCTATAATATCCCTACTAACAATGAACTAGGGCTGCACAATTAATCGAATTTCTAATCGCGATTACAATTACGGATGCCACAATTACGTAATCGTTCAAAGCGGCAATTAATCGTTCAAAGTCCACTTATGTTATTCTGAGTGCTTAAGATGTGTTTTTTTCTTTCTACATGTTATCTTAAGGGGTTTTCCATTGTTTTAGTTTTAGTGTTAGTATAACATTATAATACCATGCATATTTTTGCTTTTTTTAAATTATTATTTAAAAGAAACCAATCCAATGTACAGTTAACATTTGAGGCTTAATGCTATAGAAAAGCACTAAAAGTTTTTCAGTTTGAGTGTTTTCAGCTTGTTTATTTTCATATAAAAATACGGCATGCAGTGGCATCAAACAATGGTATAAACATCATTCAATGTAAATTGTGATAATCGTAAATTAATAATCGCAATTACAATTTCAAGGGAATAATCGACTGATCGTTGTCATAATCGTGCAGCCCTACAATGATCAATTATATTTTGATTAACTAACATTAACAAAGTTTAATAAATGCTGTAAAATACAAACACACACACACGCAAACACACATCTAATTTTTTTGTTTATGTTAGATAATGCATTAAGCAATGTTCACAAATGAACCTAACTGTTATTCTTAAAAAATATTTTTCATTTTCTTTATGCAAAATATTAAGTGCAACATCAGTATCCAAAAATGTTCAGTAATCTGAGTGCACACCTAGAGTTAACTTATCATATACCCGTTCAGACAAAGACTTGTGGTTACGTGCGGCATGAAAACCTGCTGCACTGGCAGCGTTGTGATGCAGGTAAAGCAGACTCACAGCAGCTCAGTGTGCGTTCAGTGTGACGTAGCCTCTCGTTGAGCAACAGCGTGTGTGTGTGTGTTCAACAACGCTTTCATTCTGCTTGAGCAAGCTGTGGTTGGTTTGTGCGGTTAGAAATGACTGAGCGCTCAACTGTTCCCGCGCTCGCAACCAATTCAGTATTACTATTACTGTTCAAACGCTCTTATCTGCAGTCGGGCAAATGCGTTAATAAAAAACTCACTCCAAAACGACTCGTTAGCATCTACACTAGGCATGGGCCGGTATGAGATTTTGACATTATGATAACCTTAAGCAAAAATATCATAGTTTCACGGTATTGTCGTTACAGCTCTATGTGGGTTATTTTTTAAATGTTTTTGAGCAACATACAGAATATTAGGAACAGTAGACTGTTTATTTTTTCTTTGATTTGTTTCCTAAAAATAAAAAAAAATAAAAGACTGACATCTTTATTTAATCTAAATCTGTAATTACAGTTATTTAATTTTAGTTATACAATTCATATACATATTTATATCATTTAGTTATATAATTTCAAATACATAATTTGATTTAATAATAACCCATTTTGAAGCAAAAACAGAATGTTCTGACTAGCTTTGTGAAATTATACTACATGCCTGAACGAAGCAAACCGCAGGAGCTCTGAATGAGATGCAGATTCACTCTCTGACAATAACAATCCAGAACTGAAAGGCGCTCAGTCTAATTTGATTATTGTCTTCTTATTTGGATCTTTTATAGACTTAAAGCACAAGATCAGATGATTCATATCAAATGACTGAATCATTACCAAAAAAAAGCTTTATTTTAAAAAACAAGTACAAAACAGTCAAACTAACATTATAAATCTAGATTCTGATTGGATGAGACATTCACAGCTGCTGTAAAATATTTCACACACACCTGCAACACTTCATTTCTATTCAATTCAATTCTAAATTACTCCTTTCAATAACAACTTCATGCTTTTAGCATATCTTATTACAAAGTGTACATCTATAGATCACAGCCTTGTTGCTGTTTCAGTCAAATCAAACTCTGACTAACACCAATAACTATGCCAACGGCCGATATATATAATAACAGACAACGTTTGTATGGTTAGTGAAATTAAATGATTATTTGACATTCAAAGACTTGTTTCAATTAAATGAATATTTGCTAAAAGCCGACGGTAGATGAGAATGCATTATAGCGTTTGCCTTCCTGTTACTGATAATATAAAAGTAAACGCTATAACACTTTTTCGTATATCGTTTAAGAGTTCTGCATAATTTATTAGTCAGAACTGTTAAAATAATGGAGATGAGAACGAGAGCTTCGTGCGCTCAGGTGCTGGCATTCTCAGCGCTTTCAAAATAAAAGTCCAGGAATTCAAAATAAAATATGGGTTG